ACACTGGCGGTTCTTGTTACTGTCACAAGGATCAAACGGTGGCTCAGCCAGACGCAACACTCCGTAATGATAAATGGTGAACGCATGCATGTATATTCCAATGCAAGCGATCGTCTCCTCCGTACCCCGTATTACTATGACCTTTTTCTCCGTATATATTCCGTACCGCGCAGCAAAAAAAGCCATGTTCCCCCCTGGTCCTCCCCTTCGGTTGGTCCGTGAGTATCCCTCATTATACAGCTCGAACGTTCTGTATGGTGCTTGTTCAGCCTCCCGAAATATGGTATATTGCATCGAGGACATGTTATATCACGATACAACGTAACAATTGTCCCATTACGTTGTACGTTGCTCGGTAAAAGCGTTGGCCACGCAAATTTAAATTTAAGCGAATCCACATAGCTGGCAATCGCGTAAAGGGGTTCGACAGGAAAGACGCATTACATCTGATTTCATGCAGTATTGCTAGCTTGGTATCCAGTGTCCACAATAACCGACGTCACTCAGACTAGTCAGCAGGGTCCGATAACATCTGATGTCCGAGGAATTGCCAATCCGTAGTCAAATACAGGAAGTCAACTTCAAACACCCGCGTCTCTGTAGCGCTGTATTAGCGTCCAGGCCCGGCCACCTTCTCCCAGGCTCAGTAGCACTACGCTCACCACGTGTATGCTTGGCTCAGCTCTGCATTCTTCTTCGGCTACCGCGGCGGTATTCAACCCTGTTGATAATTCAGCGCGTCCTCGCATGACGAGCCGTTGTATCTCAGCGTGGAGATGTCAGGGTTGAGGCCGTAAAAGAGAAAAAGTGCCTGTTGGATAACGGCAGAACAAGCATTGAAGCGTTCGCATGAAACTAGCTGGGATCTCTGCTGGCTAAAATCTATGCGTTTTCAAACCGGCAGTGCTCACGGCACTTGAATTCCAATTAACGCCAAGCATATCAACTAGCAGCTTGGTGACAAGTCGCAAGATTGATACTATCCTACCAGGGAAACTGTAGTGCCCATCGCAGTAGATATCCGAGGCTTAGGTCTGCATGTAACAGGACTTTTGTACCATTCACAAGTTGTCGTCATTGCAATGTATGTATGTCTTACTGTCTCGAACTGTATGTCGTGATCATGGTGCAATGGATTGTCTGTGCCCTTCGACAATTCTGGAAGTTGATGATTCTTCAGACTCTGATGAAGCTCTAAACCAGGATTTTTCGTACACAACACGCAGGATAATGGTCTTTGCTGACCCATTGTTGATGTCGTGGTAGTCTCCTCAAAAGGCCACAGGAAGCTTGAGGTTTACGAGGCCCCTGAGCTTTCAACACCAAACACAGGACAGAGGCATGTGTGCTTATTCAAATCAAACGTGATGCCGTTTGGCCATGGTCTGCGGCTATCGAGGTTCGACTGCCTCCTCCGGTGGATCCAGGTAGCTTTTTCTGACTGCGATTCGAGTGAGTCGGGCGAAACTCAAAGTACCGGGATGGGGGTTCACCAGAAAAGGCTTCAAGCCTAGTCCTCTGTAGCGCTTGCTCTGTACGGAGTCGTTTTTACATATTAGCACGGGCCAATCTGATGAATGGAGCGTTCTCCCCGCAGATGCCGGGAGCACCTATTGATCTTTATGCGGTTGGTTGAAGAGCTTGAAAGGCTAATCGGAGGGCCCGCAAAGTCGAGAGAGTTCTATCTTGCATGGCCGATCTCGTAGTACCAGCAACTTGACCGGCAAGCTGGTCGAGCCTTTGGGTCTGGAGTCTTTCCAACGTTGGTTCGACCAACAGTTGAAGAGGCAACAGCAAGCACGCATCCATCAGCGGCTGCTCCTTCCCTGCTCGGTCCGGATTGAAGACGGGCCAGCAAATAGCGGAACGCGGGAGGCGCTGCCGACCCCGCCGCTACCAACGCCAGCACCAGCACTAGCCCACATGCAGACATGGACGGACCAGAACTCGATTCAATCACCACACTGGGGCTCTTGGCCCGTCCCGTTCAACTCCGAGACGCGGATCCAATTGCCTAACATATGAAATTTCCAATATTCCAATGTTCCCACAGGAAACGCAC